AGATAAAGCATGATAAATCATCTTTCAAATAAGTTTCACACTAGAGTTTAAATTAGAACTCCTCTTGGTAACAGGGTTGGCCGCATTGGTTCAACTGTTCGTACAGGCTCTCAACATTCCTGGTAATGTGCCCAACTTTCAAAACGCTTGGGACATTTTTGTTGAAACTACTTGTGGTGAAGCTGTTAAGGAGTCAATCGAGATGTACAAAGTGGAGATGGCGTCCCGAGCTAAGAACAAAATCCCTTGCGATGCTGACATGCTTCGCTTGGCCAACGAAGAAGTGATGGCAAAGTGCGTGCAGAACTTTCTGACGAAAACAGCTTCTTTATCGACAAAAAGCATCAAAGAGTTTCAGGAAGACCTTGAGGTATTTACTTAGATACGCTTTCGCTAGATGGTTTTTGTACCACTTTATTCAAAAGATTCCCAAGACATAAAAGATGAACGAAAATGCAAAATATCCCACGATCAAATGATGAAGTCGGTTGAAGAATTTCTGTCGAGTTTAGAGTTTGAATTACTAGTGCTTCTCAACTTGTAAAAAGTGTATAATTTTGAATATTCGGTTCACATGATGTAGTATAAGAGCCTACATATATTGTTAACTTATTTTGATAGGTTAAAGCTTCCAGTATTTTTGAAGAGTACATACGGCAAAATAAAGAACAAACTACTGCTGGATGCCGAGATTTGCTAAAAAACCTCAAGAAAGAAAAATGGCAGCCCATTCTCGTTCGTCTAAGTGGTCCAAGTGCGAGTAAAATGGAATTCAAAGAAGTTGTAGAGGCATACGACGCAGTGAAGAACGAGTACCAATCTAAAGCCAAAGGGGCAAAGGATATGATACAGGATGTGTTCATGGAATTTTTGCCGGTCAGTACTAGTGACTTTTACAGTGTGACGCGCGATACCGTGGCTACATGATTCTGAATTGTTTATTTTTTCGTTCAAAAGGAATTCAAAAAGGAAATGGAGCAAAATCATGATATACTGAAACTGATGAAGGACTATGATGCCGATATTGAAAACCAGAAGACCATGAATGCTGCTATAGAGAAGGTTCAGAAGGAAAATGAGGTAGTTTTTAGTGTCTTAGTAAAATTTCGTCGTTGCATTGTATATTATTGCATAATATATTGAGCATTATAATATATTCATTAATAATTCATAAGTTACACAGCCACTCTGTGACCGCCATTGTAGTCACATGACTACCCTTGTATTGCGTGGGGAGGTCTTGAATACAGAGCAGGGAAAGGGTGGGGGTTAATAAATAATAACAATAGAGAATGAGATCTAATAGAATGTTAGAAAAAATATAAAATACTAATAGATTTCAATCTAACAAAACGAATAGTCAAAATTGCAAGTATTTACAATATTCTTCGATCATTTTTTTTTTGAGGAGGTTGATGCCTTTTCTACAGTTATTACGTTTTGTAGATGCCTGTTAAGGCCGAAAACAATCAYATATAGAGATTTGATGGATACTGTCCGCCACTTTTGTTGGCCAAATCTCTAACTCTTTGTCAACCAAGAGTTAGAGATTGTATTTCCCAATACAGATCGGCCGCTTATATTGTATATAATTACATATAAACAAAGAATACAAATCACTTGTTTGTATATTTTAGGAGCGTATTGCAGTGATGGAAGATCAAATGAGAGCCGAAAAAAGACAGGTATTCAGTGACAATTTCCTATTGTGTTGTTTGCTGAAAGGGGCATTTTGAAACAAAAAATCTTTGTATCTTCTAATCATCAAGTTGAAACTTTTACCGTKACATAAATTGTAAAGAGACTATAGTTATTAGAATGGAGGGCTTTTACTTAAAGTATTTTCGTGAAATAACAAAAGGACTAGACATCGTGCTAGCTATAGTACAGTAGAGAAATAACAACATGATCGTTGTCATAGATATCTATCTGACTCTATATATTGCCTAGTGGGCAGGAGGGGAAACCATGACAGATTTTGTCACTTGTATGAAAAAACCGAACGACTGCAACAAGGGTTCAACAAGGGTTACAGTTGTTGGCTTAGAGACGATCTTTGCCGGCTGATTTTTATGTTCTTCGCCTCGTTTTCACTATACGTCACAGCGGCCATCTTTGAGGAACTTCAAGGAACGATTTCTCATTAGTATCTATTGTTCATTCCTCCAACATGTCCGCCGGTCTTTTATCTTTTGAATCTCATGGGAATCGTTGAAAACGATCAATCACATATATGGCAATACATATTCTATACATTCTTCTATTCTATATACATTCTTCCCATTCTTCATTTAAAAGTAAGACTGCATGTGACATAAAGCATTATCGGTTATTTATTGTGCTTCCTGTGTAATTCCCAAACGCTGCATGATTGAAACATATACAGATAGATAGAGAAAGAGATAGATAGACAGAGAGAAAGATATATGAGTACATAGACCGAAGAAGAGGTAGAACGAAAGCCGATCTAGACTATGGAAAGCCCGACTATAAACCGCTAATTTATCGGAAAGACCTCACCAAACACAACAAAAGAGAGCACGAGAAAATGTGGTTTTTACAATAGCCTSAAAATTTGYATTTTCTCCGTGTTCAGACAAACCCTGTTTTCCCAGAAGACCTATGGTATGAGCCTTCTGGTAACACAGGGTTAACCACAACTCGGGTGAAAATGTATTTTGTTAACACTATTGTACTTACATTTTCTCGTGCTTTCTTTTGTGTTTGGTAAAGTCTTAACGTATGAGAATCTGCTGTCAAATAAAACAGCGGTTATTCACTTTGAATTCGAAAATGGGGTATTGTTTTATTCCCGATACAATTCAGACTTTGTGATTTTTTTGGAAATCATTTTCCAGTCGCGACATGTGAAAAATTGTGGTCAACTGAAAGTGAGTTTGAAGTTTTCTTGGAAAAGTAATGAAATTCAAGGGTCTCATTCAATTTAGTGAAGCTTGTAGTCTTGTAGATACTATATATTACATGTACTTACTATATAACGTTTTTAAATTAGCTTGCTGACTTGACAAACAAGATTAAAGAAGACCAGATAAAGCTTCAAGAGGAGCTTGCCAAAAAGGAGTTAGAAAACAAGAATCAAATGAAGAACATGGTAGCTGCACATCAAGATCAAATGAGAGAATCAAGAAATCGCTTCCAGAAACAGCAAGAAGACCTTGAAACGAGGTTACAGGGAACAATGGAGAAAATTCTCCGAGACAAAGATCAGAAAATCAAAATCCTGACAAGCGAGATAGACAAATATAAAAATCGATCAATTGGCTCACTTTTAGCTGAAGCTGGTGTTAAGATCGTGGAAAAAGTCGTGGACAAATGTTGCGTGTCTTAAGTCGTATTAGTGAAAATGGCATTCACCATCTAGTGCACACATTTTATCATATATCTCTTTAGCTAGTTTCAACTTTTACCTATATACAGTATATAATCAATTTATARCTCGTGTAGAAACGCTAAACTTTATTCATTATATCCCCTATAAATATAGTCTAATTTCGATATTTTGGTTGTTTACCCAAAGTTTTATGCTCAATTCTATTGTGCTTGTTTAGTCAATCTATTTGAAAAAAACGTAGTCATCTACAAAAAAAATACGTCATGAAAATATTTTCTCCTAAATCATAAAGTCGGCTGAYAGCCTTAGATTAGAGGGGGGTCTTCGAAACTGTCCTTTATATTTGTAATAAACTGACGTGAACTATGAGCATGTCTTTGTTTCTTGTTTTCTTGTTTCTTGATGAAAGGTACAACTAACCCTGAATTTCGGAATTTTGAACTTTTCTATACCATATATATGTTCGTTTCTAGAACATATAGCGTGCACTCTTATCGTTTGATGCTTTGATAGTTTTAATGAATATCAAGATCACATGCTATCGCTCTGATTTATTACGAAACAGAAGGTTCATTCTCGCTATGTTTGGCTAATGATGATTACGTGAAACTCTGATTCGCTGAATGTGTTTTAGTACCGTTTCGTCCTCAAACAATAGGTCTAGTGTAAAAGACAATAAATATGCGTAACAGTCTTCGCGCATGCTCAGATGTGATGGCTTCTTCTTGGAATCGATGTCGGGACTTCCCCTACTAGAATGATACATTTATTTATAAAGAATCTAGTCATTTGAATACCGACATACGAACAACGAAAGCGAAGGAGTAAGCATTCCACACACGAAGCTAGATATTCAGGTACGTTGTTGTATTTTTACGTATTAATTTTGCCGTAGGTCATTCTTAGGAACCGAGGTATTTGTCAAAAGAGTGACCACGAAAAAAATGCTTTTTTTTGCGTAAATTATACGCTTGGTGAGCGAGGTATTTGACGGGATAACCTTGCACGACAGAGTCTTCAATTCAGAATTGAATTCAAAACAGTAGTACAAACGATACATATGGTATATTCCAATAAGAAATAAGGAAATATTCGGGAAAACTCGACTTAATTCTTGGTATTCTAGTTTAAAGTAGAGTCTGCGTCAAAATAGCTTCAGTAACAAAGGTCAACGTAAACGCATAAACATAAACAGCGAGGGTAGAAAAGAACACTGATTTGTTATGAAAACAAATTTAACGAGGTCTAACGTTTTCAACGGGTCTGTGTACACACTGTGTAAGTAAAATATTACCTAATTCTGCAACTTATGCACTTTCATTTTCATACACGAGGAATGTTGTTTACAATGACTGCATTATTATATTTTTATACTGTAAGACAAGTGACTATTCCCTTATCGACAACCATAAATTAAAGATATTTGGTAAAAAAATGTTTGAAGAGTGCTGAAGATGACTTGCATTAGATTTATTGTGTTTTAAAATCAGGGAGGAAAATCTGCTCTGATTCGTCGTGATACTCGAATTTTTTAGTGATTAATTGATAAATACATGATTGATAAATACATGGTTGGCATGGGTTGGTTGTTTATCAATTATTGATTGATTGATCGATTGTTTGATTGGCTGATTGGTTGATTATATTTATTGATTACTGAGTTGATTAATTGATTGATTGATTAATACATCTCTATGACGTCCTATCGTATCATATCTTAACTTGTTCCCATTATTACAGAACTGCGATGGCAAACAATCAGGATAAGCTCGCCACACCCCTTGTTCTACCCAATAATTGTAACTGGGACGAGAAGACCGGAAAATATACCACGAAACCGAAAGTCGAACGTGAAACTCTAACCGTGGTTCCTAAAGCATTAGATCAACTACGAGAAATCAAGGGTCATGTATGCGTGGTTTCTATTGCTGGTCCTTGCAGAAAGGGGAAATC